TCCAAAACTTGGTTAACACTATGCCCCAAAGAATTTCAGCCGTAATAAAAAATAAAGGTGATGTTACCCAATGGTAATCTTTCAGTTGTTGCTTTGTTAACTTCGCGCATTTATTCGCACATTGTTTATTTGTTCAGATGTTCTATTAGTTATAGGTCTAAGTGATTTCAAATATGTATTTGTTACGACTAGAGTGTATCTAAAATGTTTTTGAGTAAATAAATTGTTTTAGAAGTAAATAGTTTATAAAGGTATATTTTGGTACAAATCTTGAAGTGGGCCAACTGAAGTGGGAAGGGGCTCGTACATGCTACCAGTAATTACACACAATTTTTCATAATTTAAAACTTTGAACGTAACCTCTCTTCAGAAAGCACAACATAAAGATAACCCGTCGGACACAGGCAATAGATATATGTACTTCATTTTCAGCATATCCAGTAATGATTTTCCCACACAGCAAATATCACTGATTTTATACACATGCAGACCAATACACATAATCATCCAGATGCGATCTTGCTATTCAACCAACTTTCTTTTCTGAGATAAAAACTACAGACTAGGACCACTCGGCCTCAAAACACATGCAACCAATGATGCGTGTAGTTTAGTTGAGTGAGTCCTCCATAGATGGACGTTCACAACGATCCTAATGAGAAAACATGGAACGCCCTAAAAACTACCTAGTTTGCGAGATGACATGTTATAGGTTTTTTTTATGTTTTATAGGTTTTTTACATCATACCCGTGCGGGACGGAATGACTTTAGGGAGGGGGCAGTGTAACAAGAATGAATAGTATTGCTAACGCTACAATACCTATATTTAATTCGCAAAAAACTAATCTATAATCAGATAAGATAATAAGATCAATAACAAATATTACATCAATCAAGATGGAACTGAATACAGGCTATTTTACGGAAACCTTTGAATACCCCCCACCACTTTGTTTTAGAGATACAGCAAACATTTTCAAACAAAAAATGTTCATATTATGCTCGACTTCAAAGATCAGGTATTTTCTTAGGTTAATATAAAGAGCTTCACAGAAACATTACTTTTTTAGATTTTAGATTGCAGTTACCCCCCCCCCCCCTAACGGCCATTTCAGACTTGAGAATATTCTCCAGCTTTTAATCTTAGCCGTTTTAGTAAGAACTTTTTTGCAACAAGCCTCTACGATGGATAGGTTCCCAGATTCAGTACCTAGCATTCTTAGTTGGCCTCCCTGTAGAACAGCTTGTTGGTAGAGAAGTGGACTGTATTTTTTTCGGCTTTTATTTTACTTTTACAATCCTAGCTGGTATTATTTGAATAACAATAATTGTTTTGTACGGCGTCGTGTCTGTGTGTCGAAGGCTCGATCATGTCATCTTGCAATATGGCGGCCACCCCTTCCTCTTCTCCTCGTCGGCGTTGCCACGTTGTGGCTGTTTTACGTGATCTGGCGGAAAGGAGCTCAACACAGCTCATTTCCCGCTTTTGAATATATGTGAACTCAAAATTTTTGAAGAGTAAAATGGTCTATACATAATTATTCGGTTCCATTTTTGTTTTCCGAGTTAACGATTAATGGTGCCAAAATGGAGCATTTTGATAAGCAGGTCAGTATTTCTGCCTTAATTCATTGTCTCTTTGCCCTTTGGAGTGCCGCTTTAACGGAATAAATATAATGTTAACAGACCTATTTCCTATATCTTAAAAATCCAAAGGACCCGGCAACACGTCTATGGGAAAAGTGGTTTCGGTTAATTTCGATTAATCTTTTTTATGTTATGCGTTTTGGCATCCCGAACAAATGTTTCAATGGGCACAGGCCCTCTACCTCCACGGGTCCCAAGATATAGGGTGTCCAAGTTGGTATAATGAGGTTCTACTCAAATATTTGCTTTAAATGGAAGACTGGTTTCGGTCAATTTCCCTGAATTACTCATATGTCTTGGCGTGCTGAATAAATGCCTTAATGAGCACAGATCCCAAAACTCAAATTCCATGATATAGGGTGTCCAAGTCGGTATAATCTATTGGGTATAATAGGAATGTAATGCTTTAAGTGAAATAGTGGTTTCGGTTAATTCCGCTGAATTTTTTATGTTATGTGATTCGGAATCCTGAACAAATGAGGTCCCAAAACTCGACAGGTCCCAAGATATAGGGTGTTCCTGTCAATATAATGTAACTCGAATGTATGCCTTAAGTGAAAGGGCGGTTTCGGTTAATTTCTCTGAGTTTTTCATATGTTATGTGTCTCGACGACCTGAATAAATGCATTGATGGGCATAGGCCCCAAAACTCAACGGGCCCTAATATGTAGGTCGTCCAAGTCAGTATAAAGAGATTACGGTTCTGATCGAATATCTGCTTCAAGTTATAGAGCGGTTTCTGTTAATTTCGCTGAATTTTTAATACGTTATGTGATAAGGCGTCCTCAACAAATGGTCTATTGGGCAGAGGCCCCAAAACTCAATGGGTCCCAAGATTTAGATTTTGTGGTAACCACGAAAGTTATTACCTCCAACGACAGGAATGCAAGACTCATGAAAATTATTGAATTGAGCTTTTGATATCGAAGTAAAATAAGTACAATTTCCGTCAGTCAAATTATAACGATCAAGAGAATGTGCACGACTTTTTAGGGCCGATTTTCTTAATCGTGTAAAAAATCTACTGACAACTATATAAAAGTTCCTCAAACGAAATCTCCCTTTCCATCGAGGGGCTGTGAACAGATCCGTTATGCTTGAGGGTCGTGCCTCAATAACGGGTGCGCCATCTTTTATGTCGGTATTGAAACATCGAATGACTTTGATATTTACCAACCGCGTGATTTGGTTAGACGTGTTTCTGAAATGTCAATTTACTACAATTTTAGTCACAATATACATTGAAAATCGTCGGTCAGTTGTGTTAACGCAACGTGCATATCGTCGAAAATATCGTGGCAAACACGTCTGACAACACTATCCGTCATTTGGTTTCGAATTTTTTTCTTGAGTAAGGGACAGTGGAAGATCATCAACATACCGTTCATCAACGACCAAGACGTTCCAATGAGTTGGTTGAAGCGGTCAGAAACAGCGTTGCCCAGAACCCAAAAGTGTCGTATCGTCACCGCGCTCAGCATTTTGGCATCAGTGGAACCACGTTGCGGTGCATTTTTAAGGATGATTTGCATTTGTTTCCTTATAAGGTGCAGTTAACGCAAAAAATGCTGCTAACTGACCGTCCACGTCGCTTGGAGTACGCCCAAACAGTCGCTCGCATGGTTGATGCTGAACCTGATTTTTGGAAGCAAATTGTGATGACCGACGAGGCCCATTTTACGCTCTCTGGCGATGTTAATAAGCAAAACTGCCGCATTTGGGAGACGGAAAATCCACATGAGATCCACGAAATGCCGTTGCATAACCGGAAAGTGACTGTTTGGGCCGGCGTTTGCGCCAAAACCATCATTAGGCCATTTTTCTTCAACGAAAACGAAACAGTCGGTGGAAATCGATATCGGTGGATGTTGGCTCATTATGTCTGCCCACAAATGCGTGAAAAAGGTCTTGGTGGTTACTGGTTTCAACAAGACGGTGCGCCATGCCACGCTTCAAATGAAACTTGTGGGGTTATTTGAAAAGTCACTTGTACGCCAGCAAGCCCCAGACCACTGAAGAACTCAAGTCAAACATTCGTACCGCAATCGCCGCTATACCACCAGAGATGCTCGAAAAAGTAATGGAAAACGCAGCAAAACGGGCACATTTTGTTTTAGCCAATAAAGGTGGCCACTTGATAGATGTTGTGTTCAAAAACTAGTCCCAATAAATTGCAAGAGGGACCATATTGAATAAAAATAGCCGATATATAGAAATCAGTTTTTCGTTTTCAAAGTTATTTCATGTTTACATACCGACATAAAAGATGGTGCACCCTGTACTAAGCCGGTGCAAATGTATACTCAGGTGATTACATATCATACATGTTTCAGAGGATTTTTGTCACAGGACATTCAACCTAAGACTTTCGGAATTTTGCAAGGCCGCTTTGACCCGTGTAAGTAATAAATCACAGTTAAATCAAACACGTGATATACCGTTTATCACAAAAGCAGAGTGGTTCAACTCCTCACGGTACCTCATAGCAATGGATTGCTTTCTCACAAGTCGCATGGTTCGAATAGCGAAAACTTCATTACGCATATAACATGGCATGCGCTGCGCCTTGCTCGCAGCTATAGTATAAAATGTAAACTGCACAGCTCAAAATTAAAACTCTACACGTAATGCTAAAAATAACGAAATTAAAACAGTACGAATAATCAAAACGAAAATGGAAAATAGAAAACGAAAAACGAGAGACCAAAAACGAAACACGATTAACGATAAACGAAATGAGAAAAGCCCAACAAAAAGTATATAATGCAATGGAAAACTAAACAGAAAATGCTTGCGCATTACTCAGTAATTAACTGTTTGTATATTGCAACAAGTAACGAATAACCTAAAAAATGTCCTCTCACAACAACGTATTCGATCAATGTGCGGCTGCGCATGTTGAACTAACAAAACTTTAAATATTATAACATTTGTAGTCCAAGAATAGCTCTTTTCAAGTAGCCCAAGTTTGTTGAAATGGGTTCGGGCGTTTCGAAGATACAGGGTGTTTTTACGGAAACCTTTGAATACCCCCTCCCCCACCACTTCATTTTTAGAGATACAACAAAAATTTCCAAACAAAAAAGGTTCAGATTACCATCAAATTTGAAGATCAGGTATTTTTTTGTTAGGTTAATATATCAAAATTCACAGAAACATCACTTGTAAACTCAATATTGCAGTATATTGCAGTTACGCCCCTTAGCGGCCATTTCAGAAACTTGCAAATATTTTCCAGGTTTTTCTCTTGATCGTCTTAGTAATAATTGTTTTTGCTGCAAACCTCTACGATGGATAGGTTCCCAGATACAGTACCTCGGTTTCTTAGTACTACACCCTCCTTTTCTTTCAGATGTGCTGGAATACCCAACAGTACATAGCAGGCCCCAGTATACAGATATTGCTCTCAGTGTTGGAGAGTGCATACAATGCAGCAGATGCACAAACCTTCCCATTCAGAAAAGAGGATGATCTGTACTACTTCGCTCTTTTTGCCTTTCAGATCTATTGGAACACAAAACAGTATGTGGCAGATGTTGGCACCAAAATAGCTCGTCCAGTGCTGAAAAGAGCTGATTCCGTCAGACAGATCAGCAACAGCGTGCTCTCAAGCAAGTATACTGCTTACGCAGCGGACACCTTGGACGGAGCTTTGGACGTTGTGGAGAAATACGTGGACAAGTACTTGCCTGCCGATGATGACAAGAACGTTTCTTACGATGGTGAGTCGTGAACTATTTTTAGTGTCCTATACAGTACCTCATTTCGTTTAGACCTATCGCCATTTCAATGAAATGGTTTTTAGTACAAATCCACTAATAGAATTCGAAAAAGCTTTTTACAGCCATCAACAGGATGCAAATATTTTTAAAGCAAAAAATACATGAAAAAATATAAATTCTTAATACAAAACCGCTTGCTCTTACACAGGGAATTATGACGTCACTGATTAAACATTGATGTTCTGAATCAGCTGTAAACAATATCAAACTTCAGTCATTTCAACGTAATTTAAAAGCAGAATGGTTTTAAGTTTCAATAAAAAAAATTGTCTCAAATGTTGAAACCAATTTTTCTTTAAAAGAGATTACTGGACAAGTTTCTCAAAAGAAATAATTTTGATAAAACAAATACCTTAATCAAAAAACAGACGTTTCAAAAAGCCGATACTTTCTGTTCCCTGTGTATTTCTGTGCCCTAAATGTATCTTGAATACCCGTGTCTTAACAAGGGGCATTTTTAAACCCAGGTTTACAGGAAGTCTTGATTATAGTTTTAACCTAGCTTTGGTTCTACACTAATTGGTAGGGTTTTTTAATCATCCACTGTTCATCAAAGCTGACATTTCTTTAAAATGAAAACCAATATACTTGGCTATTTGTTTGCGCTTTTGGGCATCCCAACATATTTATTATCAAAGAATAAAATGAAATAATATATCGTCGGGGACAAAAAATAGCACGTAAGTGACCAAAAAATATATAGAGTGTACCCAAATAACCCATACAGCACAATATTTTTCAGAAATCTTACATTGTAATAATCGTAATGGTTCAAAATCCCTACAAAATATTGTTATATACGAGTGTATATATATATATATATATAACAATAGAAAAATAATGGGCAAAATCCGCAAAAAGAAGGAAAGTGGATTCGAGTAGAAAATAGGATAGGTAACCCTCTATATACGTATATATATATATATATATATATATATATATATATATATATATATATATATATATATATATTATATTTATATATATATATTATATTTATATATATATTATATTTATATATATATATTATATAACCTATGATAAATTTTGCATGTTTTACAAGTTGCTGAGGCTCAAAAAGAACGTGGATGAAAATAGTATTATCCTGTATTTTTGGAAAAATAGTTTTGAACAGTAACATTCAAATAGAACGACAACAATAGAAAATATCGAATACCTTTTTTACAATATATGGCCACGAATTATTTGAGAGAATAAATTAATTCAATTGTTCACGGGCACGTCATAGGTGTCTATATAAGCACGATGCTAAATGTTAAAAGTATTGCGATCAAAACAAATCAATGGCATGCTATATTTTCAAAAAATACTGGATAACATTATCCGTATCTACGTACATGAAGGGTCTGAAAACAGCTGTAAGTCATGTGATATTCACCATAGGGCATATTTAATCAAAATAAAGTACTTCCATTCTTTTATAATTTTTTAGAACAATATCATCATTTCTTTTAGTGCTAATATGCTTTAAAATAAAGCCGTGGCGGACCCATCTTCATATGGAAATTTCTTTTTGAAATTGACCAAGTATTCGATGGTTAAAGTCTGTCTACATACTTTATTAACACCCTATATATATATATATATATATATATATATATATACGAGTATATATATATAAGACTTGAGTTTTCTATCCTCCTATCCGTCCGTCCATCTCATCTGTGGCAGTTGATTCATCTACCCTTCATAAGCATACAACTGTCCTCCGACCTTTCAAGACACTAACAGGTAACTAGCCCATAAAAAATTATCTGATTTAAGAAAATCCGTTGCTAAGGGAATAAAACGTGCTTGGCTGTATTGGCACGACAGCTCTTGCGGGCTCGACACAGTTCCGGCCATATTGAACAACTTTGAAGTGTCAAAAATATTGGCAATTACTTCATCTCTGACGACGCCCTGTAAGAAGGGTTTTGACAACATTGTCACATTTGCAAGCTATAAGTTTTCTGAGATTTGTTGGCGAGAAAAAGTTGTTAAAAGATGGAAGTTGACCCAGGAGGATCAACAGACGATGCAGTTCCACATACTATGAGGAAAGAGCTGAGTGTTGGCGGAAACCAAGCAGAAGCAGAAAACATGAGCTCACTGACGCAGTTGTCATCGGAGCAGAAAACGATCAAAAAACTGATACTGATTATAGACGACCAGGCGGGGCAGATTCGAGACCTAATGGAGACCATCAAGGACCAGACAGCGAAAATTGACATCCTGACCGCCCAGGTAACAATATTACTAAATTCAAAAGAATCCCCTAAAGAACTGACAAAGACCCTAAAAAGACCACTGAGAAACGTTACTGATGATCATCTCACATCCACAGACGAAGACGTTCAGACCGAAGGATTTGTAAAAGCAAAATCAAGAAGGGGGAAAGGCTGATCCATCAACCCAAGACTTTCCTCCTCTTCCGAATACAGGATCAATTTCATTTCACACCTCCCCCAATTCATCAAATCGAAACACTATTAATGCTTCTACTACCAAGCCAGGGACCACGTTACCTACCTGTCAGGTGACTCCGTCAGCCGATGTTACTTCTCCTCCGTCACCTCGTCCAACCGTCGTGGCATCAACACAACCCTCACGACAAGGGCGTATAACCCCGATCGTCTTACGCGACGGGACGAGATGGCGTACTTTAAATTTCAAGTTTATTTCCATAGATATTAAAATAGATCGCGCGGTTGCCGTCGATGCGGGAATAAGGATTATTCCTAAATCCTAGGACGACTACCGTAAGATCGTTCGCCTATTCCGAGAGGAAGAAGTGCCCCATCACACTTTTCCTCTCCCTTCGTAACGGAACATCCATGCGGTAGTTCGAGGAGTTCCCGTCAACTTTTCGGATACTGAGATTAAGGGAGAACTGGAGCAGATGGGATATAGTCCTCTTCACAACATTCGATTGAAGCGCAGCGGCGACGCGCCCATGCCTTAAGGTGGTCGTGATACTGGCCAAGACTGAAAAGTCTCGGCAAGTGTTCAACGAACACGAACTGCTGGGACTGGCCATTCGAGTTGAGGTTCAGAAGAACTCCAAACTCATTGGGCAGTGTCACCGCTGCCAAAAGTATGGGCATGCGCAGTCATATTGCACTGCATGGCCCAAATGCTTAAAATGTGCAAAGGACCACATGACGCATTTGTGCCCCCTCACAGAAGAGGAAGAACGCAAGTGCGCGAACTGTGGAGAGGGACATCCCGCAAATAGCCGGACTTGCAAGTTCACTCCAAGGAGGAACTTGCAAGTTATAGCGCAAAGGCGCAATATATCATACGCGGAAGCAGCTCGGTAGGCAACCTTGCCTGCCCCCTCTGCCCAACCTCCCTTGAGCACGCAAAATGTGGACCTGGCAACCGCGCTAAGGTCCTTACAACAAATAATAAGCCCACTGATTAGCGCTACCCAAGCGTTGCACGCGATATTTCCTGTAAATGTCTAGGTACAATAGTAGACAGCCTGCATTCATCAAAATTCTTTTTTGGAATTGATTGGGCATGAGGAATATTCCCAAACAACGGGAATTTCATCAAGCTCTTTTGGATGAAGGTATAGATGTGGCCTTGCTGCAGGAAACGTTGCTTAATCCGGGAGAGCGTTTGTCTCTCCCGAATTATGATGTTATCCGAAGTGACAGATTGAATGGTCGAGGCGGCGGTTTAGCAGTGTTGATTAAACGCGGTATAGACTATTATAGAAGCACTAATGCGGAGATGCATAGCATCGAAGCAGCTTCTGTGGTGGTCAATATGGCGGGAGGTGTCTCGTTGAAGATCACATCGGTGTATGTCAGGTGTGGTGCCAGGCTACAAGAGGCGGATCTGGAGGTCCTTTTGGACTACTCGGGTCCGCTTATTGTGGCAGGGGACTTCAATTGCAAACATCGAGCATGGAATTCTAGGTTGAATTCCACTAGTGGGGTTCGATTGTACAACCATGTGTTGCGAAATGGGTACCTTATACATAGCACTGAAGAGCCGACACATCATCCATTCAACCATCTTCAGGCACCAGATGTCATCGACTTCGCGATATCTAAAAACTGTAGATACAGTATCTCTTCTCGAATCTTGTATGATATATCTAGTGACCATCTACCTGTTGTCTTGGATGTGGGCAATGATCAAACTTCTGAGGAGGCAGCTTCTCCAAGAAAACGCATTAATTGGGACCTATACAAGTTGCTCCTTAGAGAGTTTCCCAATATCCCGATTATAGATGATGAGTCTGGAATAGATGCCGCTCAAGCGGAGTGGACAAGTTTCATTAAAGCAGCTCTACAGCGTGCAGCTGTACTTCTTGTACAACGACACGGCAGACCTTTTTTGAATGCGGACATTCGTCAGAAAATCTCTAACAAAGGAGCCGCTATTAAGCTGGCAAAAGGTCTTGTCATCCTGATGACATTCGTAGGGCTACAAATCTTGTCCATGAAGTGAGAAACGCACTGCACGAACTCCGCAACGAGCAATGGAGCGACTTTCTGGCGGGAATGCTTGATTCAAGTATTCCTCTAGGGAGGGTCGCAAAGTCACTCAGAAACGGAAAGCGAGAACAACTCCGACACATTCACGGTCCTGAAGGCATAGTCTTCAGAACGGGGGATAAGGTCGAGGTTTTCGCTGATGCCATGGAAAAACAGTTCTCTCCCAACTATGATCTCGATAATGACCTCGACGAGGAACAGCACATTGTACGATCCGTCAGGAGATATTTTAGGGCCAACGCCGTTAGCGGAGGCACTGAATCCTCTTCAGATGACTCTTCCTCAGAAGATTCGTCTGAGGCTCTACATAGCACACTAGCGGAACCCTCCGAGTTTCCACATTGCACATCAGCGGAGGTCCTAAGTCATATTAAAGATCTCAAGGTGCGTAAGGCACCTGGGGAGGATCAAATCACCAACAAGGCG